TGGTGTGACACAGCACATGGTGCTGTGCAGGGAGTAGTGTCAGCAGCACACTGGCTGGGACATAAGGACATCCAAGTTATCATCTTTATTGTCCTAGTAAACTTGGTTTAAGACACTGCCTTAACTTCCCTTCTGAAAATTGGGAGGTTTCGCTGGCCCACTCTTGCAGCGCGTTTGGGGACTGTGGATGGAGAAGTCCGTTTTGTTCCAGCAGAGGCATCCACATCAAAAGTCTCTGCAAATGACTTAATCCTCAGAAGCATCTGGTGTAGCAGCAGTTCCCAGGCTTTTGCTGTTAGTGACATCACTTACAGATCAGTAATTTTATGCAATCCTCAAAACCAGGAAAAGCATCTGCTGAAAAAATTCCTTGGATACCCCTCCCAGCCTGCAATCGTGAATCTTAATTTAGATGATGGTGTAATACAGGTTGCTGCTCCTTGTATGAGCCTGAGGGCTATTCTGCCCAGAGATAAACTTCTTTGAAACAGGTATTGCATGGGATGCAGAGCTGGAAGAAAGGCATAACTTGTTCTTCTTTGCACAGCTGTGACTTTCACTTCATGGGCATAATCTCTGAATGCTTACAGGAGAATGACTCCCCTTTGAAATCATAGTTAAGAAGTAAACAAACATCTAAACCACATGCTGGGCTAATTAGCCTCTCTATTAAGTTTTACTTTTTGAATTTTAACTATTTGATAGCTTATCTTAAATGAGTTGGCTTCTGTGTTTATTACCCCCACAGGGTGCTCTAAGTTATGGCAAAATGCTAAGGCTGCCGAAGAGCCAGTCTGGCAGGCAAGGATAGCTTGAAAAAAGATGCTCCAATAGTGCTTTCTCCCTCTGGCGTGTGTTGTCTCTGCCAAGTTTTGCCAAGTTTTGCATGGGGCACGTGGAACAACAACTGTTTAAGCCACCTGAGATTTTTTCAGTCCAAGATGGTCCTCATAATTCTCAAGTTTATACTGCCAGAAGAATTCAGAGCAACTGGATGTCTCCCAAGTAATGTACTTCTGTGCTACAGGGTATGTTAGTGTTACTGAACAAGAATTAGATTGCAGTGGGGGACAAATAAAGCTTAATATTAGGCATTTCCAAGCTCAATGTAATTTCTTCATGCCAGAATGCTGGAAAGAATCGCTGCGTGCTAAGCCCAGGGAAAGCTGGCAGGATGCTGAGCACAGGGAAAACACTCAGAAGTAACTTGTACTTGAGTGTGCTCTCAGAATGACTGCTTTCCTTCTGGTCTACCAGACCATCAGGATGTCATGTTCTTCTCTTGCTCTTATGATGAAAAGTTTTTTAGTTGTTGATGTAATATAATAGTGAAACTTAAAATGGGAACAGCAGTAAAACAATCTCTGGAAACCATCTATACGAGCCTTGGTGGAATCAACAGCTGCATGCACGAGACCAGAAACGTTATGGAGATCAGGAGCAAGTGCTTAGGACAGGGTTGCTGTGTCATGGTCACAACCTGGGTACAGTAATCAGGGTTTAATGCTAAGTATTCAGCATGGGTACTCAAATTGGGCTGTTTCTTCAATGTGTTAAAAGGCTGAAAAGCTAGAACAAACTGGAGCTGAGAGATCTAAAAGAAGAGTACTTTTCCTCCTTTTCTAGATCTTTAACTAAGAAAACTTTAAAAGAGCATTTGAAAAGAATGGAAATCTTTCTTTAAACATAGTTTGTAAGCTGGAAAGAAATGAGTAAATTTCTAAAATAAAAACAGACTGGGCAAAGTGCTAATCTTGATATGACAGCAGCTTGATCAAATTGCCAACTAGGACTTCCTGAAACATCTGCATGCATCTACTCATCCTTGATATTGCTGAAACATGCCTCAAAAATATGAAACAGTGGATTTTGTTGTTAATATGCATATTTTCTGAAATAACATGCATATGCATAGATGTATCATGTAAAACTGTGCATTACTATCAGAATTATTTGCAGTAATAATTTTAAAAGATGAGGAACTCTGGCGGCTCTGCCAAAGGAGATTGCATTTTTCATTGATGAAAGCCAAGTGTCAGAGGGGCTTGCAGCCACCATCCAATGCACACAGCAAAGTTCAGGGCCAGGTCCCCAGCCTTTATTCATGTGAGTAATCCTTTAATGTCAGTAGAGCCAGCAAGATACTGATGCTAAAGAAATGAAAGCCCTCAGGCTCAGTTCAGAACGTACAAGTTTTGCCCTCCACCAAGGACCTGGTGGGAAGGTGAACAAAGGTTGCTTTATTTCACCTTGCTGGATTTTGAGGCCTTGGGTGAAATGAGAGCTGAGTCACTGTCACTATAAGCTACAGCAGCTTTAAGGTTAAACTGATTAGAGTGGAATATATAACATTGAGTCTGACAGACTCAGAACGATCATTTTTATCTGCTCAGCACTTTTTAAAAAAAATCAAATCAGGGAAAAAGCTGCCCTGTTTGATTGTTCCTGTTACATAACAGCGATGTCTTTGGGATTTGGGAGAAGCCACGAGCAACATGTCCCTTACGTAACAAATCCAAGTTGCTCTAATCCCTGCTGTGCTGCTGCTGACCCTGGGCAGCCAGGAATAGCCTGGGAGCGGTGCTGAGCTCCCCGGGCTCTCCACCAGGCCTGCAGGGCAGCCGTGCAGCTGAGGCCCTGTGCTCTGAGGAGTTTGCTGCCAACTGTGTTTGCTGGATTTGCAGGGTTTGCTAATAGAGTGCAAATAAGGGCTGAATCCTGTCCTTAAATTCCGGCCTTGCTCCTTATGGGCAGAGCTGATCCTCCTCACTTACCCTTTTTTTTTTTTTTTTTTTAATTGAAACATCAGCCTTTACCCCTATTTCCATCTGGAAACAGGTCATCTCATGATCGTGGCACTTTTTGGTCCTGTGATTGTTTAAAAAAAATGGATTACAGGCCAGATCAGACCCTTGGAGCAGGTCCTGAGCCTTTGTTTCTGTCTTTTGGGTCAGTGGCATGGCCTGATGTCTGATGGGATGTGCTGGGCTTGCCCAAGAGGATGTTTTGGGGAATAGCTGCAGGCAGGCACCTTCCTGAATTCGGGGGGCCTCCTGTGTCCCTCTGGCTTCAACAGGGTGTTGAGGCCTTGTTCCTGCCCTGTGATTTCACATGCTCAGTGTGGAGGTGGTGGGCCAACATGGGGGCCTCATGGATCAGGAAGGTGGCTGCTGGGAGAAGTCAGGTCCATGTTCTTGGGTCTTGGTGTCTACGCAGAAGGTCTGACCCTTCACTCGAGCCTGTCATGTTAATGGCTTGTCTTGATTAAAGAGGGTATAACAGTGTGGAAGAGCATCTAACCCTCAGCCCTACCCAAGGGTTGTGTGTGCCTCACCAGCTGACGTTCTTGCTGTGCCTTCTCTATGGGTGAGCAACTGCTCTGCCCTGATCTCCTTGGCTGCCTCCAGTGTAATCAGGAGCATTTGAAGAATGATAACATAAAAAAAGCAACATTGTGGGATTGTTTAGGGGGAAGGATTGAGGTAGCTGTGCACAAAGAGACCTGTCTAATTAAAACCGCAGGGGAATGGAGATGGTGGCTAATGAGGCTGAACATACAACTTAATTGAACTGAGTTATTTGAAAAGAAGCAACCTGCCTTCCTAGGGAAAGGAAGGTGGTGAGAAAAAAATAGAATGTACCTGGAATTTCTTATTAAAATATAAATTTCATTGTAATTAGTGCATGATGTACTGTGAGTTACTTTGGGTTGGGGATTTTAGCACATTTATGTGAAACGTGTCATAAATGGTGACCAGTTGCATGCAAATAAAACACTAGCCATTTAAAAGACTATTTGATTAAATCTATTACCTAAAATCTCATTTGTATCTTCCATCTTCTAATATTTTCTAAGCTTTTTATCCAAGGTTTATGCACTTGATCTTTACCACAAGGAAAAATTTAGTATCATACAACTTCCCCCTTTTCCCTCAACTCTCTTTCCCCCTTCTTTTGCTGACTCTACATTTTCCTCTGTCATGTTCTCAAGTCTCTTCTGATCTCCACCTGGTTTGCTTGTCCCATAGTCACATCCCTCTTCTTGGTCTTCCTTGCACTATACCTCATAACTCTTCACTGTCTCCTGTCTGTTTCCTATCATAATACAAATAAATACACATCACTGACATAATATAAAAAAACCAACTGAATGACAAACCAAAAACAAACACCAAAACCTTTTCCAGCCTTTTTTGTCATCTGGTCAGTCCTACTTAGGAGATCTTTTTCAGCTTTGATTCTCAGCAGTTTGGCTTTGGCCCCTTTTACCACCGGTGAAACCACATCTCATGGCCTCTTATCAAATCTCAGGACTGGCTTGCTTTCCTTTTCTGCCTTGACCTGTTGTCTTTTGATATCATAACTCACATTCTCTGATTCATGATGTTCATTTCTTGTGATCGCAATCTTTTTTTGACTTGTGGAAGAAGCTCCTTCTGTGTGTTTTCTGGATGATTTTCCTCATCCTTTCTTTTTTCCCTACTTTCCCTCCATACATTTTCTTGGTGATCTTATCACAAGCGAATTCAGCTAAATCTTCCTGAATAGCAATACATCAACCTTACCCCATCAGAATGTGGCACAGCGAAAAGATGTCAGATAGTACAGAGTCCCTTAAGAGCAATGATCTCTGTAAATGCTTTAAAACCTGACTAAGTTTAATCTGTGCTTCCCCTTCAGCTTGTGTACCTCAACTTGACTTGAGAGCATCGACTTAATCTAAAGATACTCCAGAGGAAGAGGAACAGAAAACGTGGAGCTTTTGTTTCACAATTTTTTTGTATTCTCTTCCTCTTTTGAGAGTAGGTGCATTGCTTCATTTCACTCGCTCCTAACAAGGGCCAGCTTATCTCTGAGTTAATGCCAGGAAACTTGGACAGGATCATAATCAGAAGAGCAGGATGTTTAATCTTGAGCACTGTGATTACAAAAGATTTGATGGTGTATGCCCTTGTTACTGGCTCTAATTCTAATGAGTCTTTTCTTTGTTTTTTTTAAAGGTTTCCACCCTGGGGCTGTCTTCTAGGGCAAACTACCACCAATGGAAGTAAAATTTTTTTTCCCTGCATTCTGGGTAAGTTTGTTTTCTGTATTGTTAATGTCTGATTTGATCTTTTAAATGTATTTAAAGACAAGGAACTCTTTGGTAAGTTGTCTTTGAATTTTCATATTAGTGCTAGTCTATACAGTGACAGGAAAACTCTCTTTAACAGTTGTATAAACAATGGAGAGAAAGGTGACTTTGAGGCAGACCACGAGACTTTTTCAAACAGAAATAGACCTTTGCTTTCCTAATGTTTTAAATTTCTCTCTGGGAAGTAGGGTATATATGTTGAAAATTAGTATCTAAACCAGTGTACTATATATCTAAAATAATCTAGTTACTTCTTGAGATAATATTACAATATTTGAAGAGAGTCTTTCATGCTTGGGAAGGCATAACTTTGTAGGCTGGGACGTGACCATGAAATGGATCCTGGTAAAGTTGTCTTGTAGTGGCATGAGGCTGTGTTCAGTCTTGAGCAATAACAATGTTTTCTGAAACCTCCGAGTAGTCAGCGATGATGTTTTACCTGGAGAAAAAATGACAGCTATGCTGGCAAATTGTGGGGCAGTATTTGCCACCTGGCTGGGTGCTTTGGCTCTTTGCCTACTTGTTACAGGCTAACAATGGTCCCAAAATCTCAAAAGACTCAAGAAAAGTGTTGGCTCCACAGGGGGGCTGGTTGTATGGGCTACTGCTCAACCCTGGATGGACCAAATAAAACCAGAGCTCTGAAGTTTCTTTTTCTGTGATGACCAGGTCATGATGGGACAAAGTCTCCTTTTGTAGTCTTGCACTGTCCCCAGTTTTACAGCAGGCTCACAGTTTATTTTCCTTGTGCATCAGTAGGCTGTCATAGCCTGCTCTGTCCTGCTGGATGAGTAACCATAAGGAGGAACAAGAACAACTGTCCATGTAGCCCAGCATATGCCTCCCTGAATACACATCTCCTGGGGCCAGGTCTGATCCTGTACCTCCAGCAGCCTGGCTGGAGGAGTTATGATGGCAACCTTGCATAAGTGATGCTCTTTCCTTTGGGGAGACTTGGACCTGGTCTGACCTGAGGGCAGAAAGCAGATGGGACCAGTGAGAAAGCAAACTCAGGTCATTGGCAAAGACATTCCCATTGTCCCAATCCTGGATGTAGGAAATCCTATATTTTGTCTGTCTCTCTCTCCAACCCAGGCTACGGGACTGATAGGAACTGGCAGGGCTCAGAAAGGTGAAGCAGACATCATCATGGCATGATCCCTGGCTTTCAAGGGACTCTTCATACATGCAGATGCCTTTGGGGACAGTGCTGTGTGATAGGAACTGTATGGCTGCATGAGCCTGGGGAGGAACACACCTCCCCTTACCCAGGTCAAAAGCTGTGTCTCTGGCAGCAGTCGTGCTCAGTCACAGATGATGTGGTTTTGGCTGTGAAATGGGTGATGGAACTGGTGTATTACTGTCTTCTGGGCAGCATGTGCACCAAAAAGAACAGAGGAAGTAATTTTTAATAGCTTTCTCCTAAAGGTCGTGCTTTTTCCAAGTGTTCCCTTCCATAACGTATGTTGTTTTGCTGTTAACAGGTGTTGAGTACTTGTTTCACCGACACATCTTCCTTTTTGAGCTGACATGTCAATGACATTCAAAGTAAGGCCTGTGAGAAGCAGCTTGAAGTTATTGATTCTTTATGGCTAGAAGTTTTGGAAATTAAAGGCCATCAGCTAGAAAGAAGCTTTAGGACTCTTTAAATGAACTTGCTCTGGGGTGAGCCTCAGAGATGTTCAGCTTCTGAAGGGGAAAATGGTGCCAGAAGTGGATGTCAAATAGGACAAGAAATGTAGGAGGCTGTTTTGCAATTTGAGTGCTTGCTGCAAACTTGGGAGAAGAAATTTTCCTGGCCCATTCCAGAGTTGTCTGCAAGAACAGTATTTTGAAATCCCTGTGTTTTGTTTCAAATAGACAGGACCGAATAATATGTGTTGTTTGGAGATAATGTGACTTTCACCTCCCTGTTCTGATCTTAGAGCACTGCGTGAGAAGATGATGGGTATACAAGAGCAGAACCCTGTTTAAGAGAGATTTGTGTGAAGTTACAGTGTGTTACAGCTGCGGCTGTAACTGGCAGGAGGCATTCTGACACACCATGGAAATACTGTTCTTATAACATTAATTTTTTAAAAAAATATCCAAATAAGTGAAAGTAGTCTACATGGGAATTTGTGGAGCAAGAGTTTAATACCATGCCTCCATATTTATGCCCACAGCTACAGAGATGCTTCAAAGAGATTTTTTTTTTTTTGCTGCTTTCAGCTAAAAATCAGAAATTCAGGGAAGCAACTTGATAATATTTTAACAGTCATCCAGAAGTTTAACATTGGATTACAGTTGAAATCCCATAGAAATACTCAAGACACTTTATACTGTATCAGATGGATTAAGCATGATTCACTTATTGCATTAAATTCAAGAGGGATTATTAATGTCTGGGTCATTGTTTCCCAGGCTTATAAATTTAAAGACCAGAGTGGACCACATGAGTATCTATTCTTACTGCCTGCTGAGTGCAGGTCAGACATGTGCAGGATATAGTAGCAGTGGTCCTTTATTTCTTCTTTATTTAGCATATCTTCCTGAAAGAGATCAAGGTCTTGATTTAAAGGGTGTCAGTAGTACTGAATCTACCATGTTGCAGGTAAATTGTCCCAGTAAATAGTGAGCCTTGCTTTTTGAGGCAGTCTATAGCTCTTTTCAGCTTCAAAATGTTGTACCTCATTTTTTCCTGCTGGACTGACAAGGGGTTTCTTATCTGGATGCTGATTCTCCATTTATTTAGCCACTTCTGAAATTCATTTACTATGAGCTGTGTTGATGTAGTATGGTGAATCTCTTAATTCAGGATTTTATGTATAGCATGATTTTAAGTCACTGTGTAGTGTGAAATTAGGACTAGAAATATGTCCTGTCAGCACACTACCATTATCAAATGATGATGTAACTGCATACAAATGATCAGATTTACATGGCCAGGCCTATTTTCCATACAGCTGTGTTGATTGGTGTTAATTATGCTACCGTTTTTCAATGTCTTATTGATTGTGTCCCATGGTAACCTTTCCCTGCTGTTCCTTACTACTGATGTCAGTCTAATTGTTCGATAGGTGCTTAGGCTATACCATTTAACCCTTTTAAGCACCACTTTGATATTAACTCTTTCCAGTCACCAGGAACTTGTAGTGTTTCAGTGTTTGTAAACAGCAGTCATTGAATCAAAACTTACTGGTACATCTACCCTCTACTCTTCAATGCAGGGTTTTAACTCAGGGGCTATTTAAAGCTCTCTCCAGTTACTGATGGCATGGGAGGTATGTTATTATCACTGTAAGATGTGAATATAGCAAGGATCTTGCATCTTTCTGAACACAGAGTCGAAGTAGTTGTGAAATATGCTTGTCTTTTTCTGAATCATTTGATTTTTATCTGGAATGACCAGTTATTGAAGCCATTGCTTGGCATTCACTTATTCTTGTTCCATTTAGGGAAGAGCTCCTGTTGTCGTAAACCTCACCATAGCTTTTTAATGTGTGGGGTTTTTTATTCCATCATTTGCTTGCATTTCTGCAATGTTAATTTGTATTCATTGCTATCAGTGTCTTTTTTTCCCCATCTGTTATGTACTGTGGGTTTGTTTTACAGGTTTCTCTGCTGCTGCTGTCACTCTCCATAGCCAGGATTCTTCAACCAAAAAAGCTTCTTTTCATGGCTCTAGCACAATGATTTTCTTTTTTCTGGCCATGTAATAAAGCATCCCTTAGCAGATCCTTTTTATATTTTTGTGTGACTATTTCCCTCTGCTCAGTTTTGCTCGTGATTGGTTTAGGTTTGAGAAATTGTCTTTCTAAAATATACAAACAAGTAAATTAGATATTGGTTAATATTACACATTGTTTTCCAGTTGCGAAAAAATTTAGAACATTGACCTTTGCCTGTAGTGGATCATAACTTCCTAGTTAAACAGTTCACCTCTATCCAATAGGAGTCAAAAAAAAGTTAGCTAGAGTTGATTTCACTACTTTTTGTATTAAGAAATGAACTGGAACATGCAGACTTTCCTGAAGTCTTAGTCGTAAAGTGGTTCTTCCAGAACAGATTCTCTGCTAGAATAAAATTTAATGTAACAATATTTTTCATAACTTCAAAGATATATGCTTGAGGAGTGCCTCATTTGATGGATTTCTGGCAGACCTCAGCCTCTGTCTCAGCTTATGATTTGCCAGTACTCTAGATTCTGCTCTTCTTTTTGCACATGCAGTATCCATGGCTTTTTCTTCTGCACACTCTATTTCTCTCAAACAAGTACAGTGCTTTTCAGTGTTGATTTTTATCACGTTTTTGTTTGTTACCTTATTAACCTTTAATACAGTTGAGCTTCCTTTTGAAAAAGGCAATTCTAATTTCTGTTGAAATCGAGCCCAGTCACCGCAGTTGTAAGCAAGCTTTCAGTGGAACAAATTGTTTGCCCTTTTTAAAAAAGAATCTATTCAAATATCAGCAGTGCAGGGGAAGCTTTGCTTTCTATTTCTAGCTCTGCAATACAGGAATTGCAAGTTTTCTGACAATTTACGTTGATGTGGGCAGGGTCTTATTTGTCAGTGAGACCGCCATGGTCGGCAGCTCCCAGTCCATGTGGCCTTTTGCAAGCTGGTGGTGGCTGCTAGGCTGCTGTGCAGACAAGATGAACTTCATGAGATGGAGTTCATGCTGCGGGTGGCTTTGGGGCTGGCTCTGGACTGCAGCTGAGGCAGAGGGAAAGGACAGTAGCTAAGGTCAAAAGTTGATATGTTTTCTTATGCTTTGTGAAAGTCCTAGAAGTACAGTCTTAACAAATGGCTGATACTCAGATCACTAATGCAATTTACTTGGTTAAAACAGCAATGCGTGTGGAAATTAACTTCTCAGTATTTGAAGCAAGTGACTTGTCAACGTGTGGTCTTGCTCTGTCACCAGAACAGACTTGCACATCCAGCATTGCTGAGGGCTTG